ATTTTCTTCAGGCTTTTTATTCTTTCCTGAGTAATCACATTTTGTCAACTGGCACAAGAAAGAAAAATTTGCTATTAATTAAAGGACATATCCTCTGTTCCTTAACTACAGTTTACATTTTCAGACAGTAGGAGAGAAGGGTAAACAAAAAATAAGTGCACTGATGAAAATACTACACTGGTGTGTTATAAGCATCATCAGTCACTACACTACATCTTTTCTCTTAGCACCATTCCTGAGGCCACCAAGATTACAACATTTTACCCTTCGTTGTATTTGGAATATTTTGATTTATGTTGTGCCATTAAGCACTTTCTACTTAATCTTGTCTCTTCACAAAGTACAATTGACTCAATCTGTGTGTGAAGTGAAAAAAATAAATTTTAAAAAATAAATAAATAAAACTCATTTCAAATAAGAAATTTCTGGCAAGCTCTTACACAAATTAAGAGTTGTTCAATAAAAATCAACATTAAACTAAAGAAAATGAGTCCAAATACTCCAGAACACACTTTCTGCTGCTAATTAAAAATAATTTTCAGCATCCCTCGTCATCCACTGCCATATATTACCTAGCAGGCAGCCCCTGCTGCATGCTCCATTAATTATGTTCCACTGAGATTTCTTGCTGCTATGGCACAGAAGTGCATTTATGAAGGTGAGACAGGAAGGCAGCTACTGATAGTGACTAACAGGCCCATTGTCAAACTTTCCAACAGCTGATGTTGCTGTCATTATGGACTTCTTTCCTGCCTCTTACCAATAGGTGATGAGTAACAGCTCTAATTTCCAGCATGCATCACTGACAACATTTATAGGCAAAATACTGAGGAAGGTGGTCTTGAGGTTCAGACACTGGTCTGGGACAACTTAAGATACCTGGATTCATTGACTAGCTCTGCCACATACCTCCTGTGGGACATAAAGCCTCCAACTGTGCAGAAGCTAAAACACACTAAAAGATCAAAAATGGGGAAAAATGTCCCACATTATTAGCACAGTTCAATAATCCAACACCAAATATATCTTGAAATGGCAGAAAGCTACCCATGGATGTAAATTCCTTTCCCCAAACATTTCATTTTCTGTACTAAGTTGCAAGACTATCAGTTTTATATATTCAAAAGCATTCTCCTTTTTAAAAAAGAAGGGGAGGGCAGGGAGCTCAGAGAGCCTTGAGATTGGAAAAGCCAAATTACACATTATCAGTACCCCAGAGCAGCATCCAAATCCAGAATAAACCCAAAGCCAAGCAGAAAAAAAAAAGAAGCAGGGAATTGCTTGGAATCTCAGTCAGCATCCAAAGACCTGCAGTAGCCAATGGGAAATGCTGAGCCCTAAAAACCTCTCCCGTACTTCTCAGAAAAGCCTCACTTTACTTGGGATCCACAGCCTGGAACATCCTCCTGGAGACAGGTGGTTTATACCTCTTACTCCAAAAACTGAGCACAACCCATCTCTTTTAAAATATGGACACCAGAGGAAGAATTTGGAGCAGCACTGCCTGACTTCCCCCGCCTCTGCCCCCATCCCATACTACAGCACTAACCCCAGATGTGATAGAGAGGTTCAGTTTCCTCTTCTGACTGAGAGGGATCAAATCTGAAAGCAGAGCCCTCACGCTCACATCCAACAGTTGTTTACAGTAAAGAAACAGTTCAGAGATAAGGACAGGAGCATAGGTTTCTTCCTGCTCAAAGTAGTGCCCCAATCTTTTGGGTCCCATTTACAGAACCTTGTCATTCCAGTGATTCTCAAACCCTTTTTGTAGTGGGAGGTGTGGAAAGGCACTCCTGCCTTCACCTAGCGCCACTCAGCATGCTCACCTGGACAGAGAGCCAAGAGGCATGGACTCCCCTCATCTCCTAAACAAGGAGGTTAGAACCTCTTAAACTGCATGAAAGGAAGATCTCCACCTTCAGGTTATAGTAGATATTAACCTGACCCTACAGTTGACCGGAACAGCTCAATTGCATCTTTCTCAGCTTTAGGTTTCCTGGGGAAACTGAGCACGTAAAAATTTCTGCACTAGCAAGTGAGCAAGAAATATTCTACAATGCATGAGACACCCTTTGCTTAGAAATCTCCCTCAAAACTAATCTGTTGAGCTGGTTCAACTCTTCAAGGAGTAAGATTTGCTGATGCGATAGATCTCCCCCACTTGGACATACTGTGCACTTTTTAATCTTATTTTTACAACAGCCTCACTCTTACTTTAAGAAACAATTAGCCTTTGACAGCTTAAAATAAACAGGACTCTCTTCTTCCTGCAGAGTCACTAGCCCTGATCTAGATTTTGAGTTCTTGCAACCACATGAGACTACCCAATGCACTTAACAGTGTAAGCGACAAGTTAGTTTGACCAGCACATTTCAAAACAGCACCCTGAGCAATACAGGCTAGAGCAATAAAACAAGGACCCACATCAGTCAAATGAAGCAAGCAAGCAATCATTTCCTCTCCTACCCTACTTTGTCACCACCAAGAGGCACATCTGGAAGATGATGCTGCCTCTTTTCAGATGTTTGCAGAGAACATGCAGGAATGCAGGAGAGGCAGGATTTTAACTTCGGTTGCACACCAAATGTGCAGTTAGGCAAACTTTTCCCCTGAACGTACAGTTGTTTTTTCTGTCTTTTGTGTTGCTGCAACATGTCCAAAGGCAGTAATTGCAATAGCTGGCACAGATAACATGACTTGGCATGACAACTTGAAACTTCAGTCCAAGCTCTTGTACCACCAGCAGAGGGGTCAGTGTTCCCATTTAATAGACATGGGAGTTCTCCACTAGTGACTTCATGTTTCCTTCAAGGCCTTCAGCTCCTCAATTCCAGCCTCCTGGCTCTGCATCTGCCTTTACCACAGCAGGGAGCAGGGCACAAAGAAGCTGTATTGAAAAGCTAACAGAGCTGTATCAGCATTCTTGAACTCCTGGCCAGCCACTGAAGGAGATGCACACAGGAGTGCTGTCTGATCCCAGGTAGTTTTCTTGAGTTGGGTTAGATGGCTAAAAGAAAGTCTGAATAGTCTGTTAAGTTAGGGTGTTGACTTGAGTTCAATCATTTCCTCTGGTAAAGAGCCCCCATGTGCCTTAGGCAAGCTTTGATCTTGGCTTCCCATCTATAAAACAGGGTAACGTCCTGCCCTAACTCTGAAAAATGGGGGGAGGACCAGCAATCTGAAGACCCCAACATGGGAATGCCAACACATATTCAAGTGATAGGCAGCTGTACAAGCACTAGCCACAGCAGAAACATCTGTGACTCTAGACAAGCAGGTGTTCTCAGAAATGAGGAACGTTTCTCAACATAATAAAAAGTAGGGTAAATTTAGCTTCCCCCAGATAACAGAATACAACAATTAGACAGAACAATAAAACCAAACAACTCATCAACAAATTATGCCAAAAAAAAAAAAAAGAATGCTGGGGTTACAAGAATGAGAAACAATATGTAATGATTAACAGTTGCAGAACGCAAATGTTTTCAGACAGGATTTAAAATTACAAGAGTCAATGAAATGAAAGGAGATGTGAGACAAAACAGAAAGTCACAGATAGAGAAGATGCAAAAATAACAAATAGAGGAACAAACCATAGGAAAAAAAAAAGTTGTCAACAGAAAAAATAAGTGAACAGTAAAGACAGGAAGTAATAGATAAAAAAATTATAAAGGACCTTGAACACCAGCTCTTTTCCAGTAACAGTACCACACTAAGTACCTTGGTTTCAATGCAATTGATTGTTTGCATTTTAATATTGCACTTACTTCATCCCACAGTCGCCCGCTGGAGAGATGTCAGGACACAGTGAGCCTCATGCAACTTAGGAGTGATACTCAGATCATCATTAGCAAGTTTGCTACTCTAAAGGTAACACTAACATTTGAGCAGCAAATGACACTGATATTTAACTAGAGTTTGAGCTGCCTTGTCAATTGTATCACTATAATTCATGCAGTACAGGAGATGTTTCAATTGATGAAAAGGTTTAAGGACATGCTCACTTTGGACATGCCACAAAGTCACTGGACCTAATGCAGCTCTTCCACAAACATCAGAGGGAACCACTGCACCCTCAGGACAGGTCACTACAAGCGAACTATGTGATTGCTTAAAGAAAGATACCAATGTATTCCTATCGTCATTCACTGAGGTTTTCTGTCCTGGATTCCAAAAAGGTGATTTAAAGTGGCCAAGGTTAATAAAACACTCAAGCAAGAAGTAGTAGTTCAATGAAGTAGCCACAGCTAAACTACACCTTTTTTTATCCTGTAAAGTGAAAGAATTGCTTATGGAAAAAAGCATCCTCGTGAAATTAATTGTCTGATTATAACTATCTCATCATTAACATTCGCAGAGAAGACTTCAGGCAAACACAAAACAAAGATAAAGGGATGCACGTTTAACGAACTGATTATGACAATGAGCAAGAAAGCAAAGGTTTTGTCCTTGACGCCTTTGTCAAAAATTCTCAGACACACAATAAAATAAAGCTCTCCAAAAGAGGAAAAAAAAAAAAAAAAAAAAAAAAAAAATTTCAGCTATATTTTACCTTCCAAAGTCTCTTAATTACAGGCAAACTCAGCTGTAGTACTGGTAACCAAGTATATACTTCCAACAGATTGTTCAGATTTTAAAAAAGAGAAACAACTCACCCAGGTCTAACAACCTGATCAAATTATAAGAATAACTCTCAAATGATAAGAATATAAAACTGTTTGCAGGAATGTGCAGACTGCTGGAAGTGCTGTGGGTTTCACACTTGAATTTAACTTTCCACATCTAATTCTTAAGCTTCCAGCCTTATCTCACTTCTTCTGAGCATAAATTCTTGACATAATAGATGTCAAGACTCATAGAGTCTTCAAAGTAAAAAAACTTTTACCATCTAGATGTATATAAAAAACTGTTATGTCACATTAGAATTCCCTCTCTTGCTATTTTATGGTGAATATTTTGGATTTGTCTGGTTTTAGTACCCAAGGACATAAAGACATCACTGAAGACTTGTGCTTGCATTCTGCTTGCGTACGCGTACATACGCAAGCCCTAGATCTGACACTTTATCGAATTCTTTCAATTCAGTCTCCTGGAGTAATCATAATTGTTAAGACATTTCTGAAAAAGAAATATGAAGATAACAGTGCCAGACCCCTTGTTCTGTAACCAGGCCCTGCACAGGAAAACAAAAGAGGAGGTGTTTCCAACTGCCCAAAACATACATATTAAACATCAGACTAAATGAAAACATACCAGAATTAGAAGCTGAAAGTCAGAGCAAAGCAAGACAGTGAAGGGGGAAAGGAGTTAAGACTCCCTGCCCCCATGACATCTAAAGGAAAAGCCAGGGTCACTCCCAGGAGTCACCACACAGAGGCCTCAGGTATTTTATTTCATGAAAACGTGTTTCTGGACAGTTTGAACCTGAGGCTGAGCAGCAAAGTCTTTACAGTGTGCTGACAATATCCTTTGTCCTCCTGACCATGTTTATCTCAGCCATTTTATACCAGGCTTTAATGGCCTAATTAAGCTGTTTTAGCAGGGGAGGTTTCACATTTCCCAGCAGTAAATGAAATCCTGGCATGCCTTAGATCAGTGGGGGTTTTCCTGAGGATGGATTTCAGAACCTGGCAGAGCAACAAGCTTGCCTGAGAGCACATCCTCATCTGAGACTATTCACAGCAAGGAAGGTTCAACTCTTGTCTAAACATAGGTTACTAGTGCCATTTGATGTGTCTTTTGATACCTAAGACATCCCCGTAAGTTGTTAGCAGGGAGGCAGGACTGCTATGCCTTTGACAGCTCTGCCTGCCTGTGTGCAAGTGAAAGGGGCCTGCGTGTTTTGGCATTATAAGGTTAATTCATGTCACTTTAGAAAATATTTAGCATTTGCTTGCTCTGGCAAAGCTTGAACTGATAGGAGTTCTACACTTGAAGCTGTCTTTGCCTCTTTCCTCCCAAGAAAATCAGGGCACAGACTGTATTCTTTATTTCTAGGCTTGTTCACCTTGGCTCAGGCTGGAGAGTGGCCAGCAGCTGAAAGCTGTTACCACCTCATAGCTCAAGTGATATATATGAAATCAACTGGAAATCTCAATCCAGTTCTGAGTAGTGATGGCTATTGACAAGAAAAGAGTGATATGAAATCAGCATTTTGGGGGAAAAAAGTAAAGATCAAATCCCAAAGGCAGTCAAGTGTTTAAGCCAATACTTGATTTCAAACCTGTCTCATTGAAACAGTCCAACAATCTAACTGAAGTGACCAGATTATTTGTACACTGAAAATAAGCAAGCACTTACCTGATTTTGTAGACCAGGCCTTAAACTGGTACGAAGATCACTCTTGAAAAGCAGATCTGAGGAACCCTTGCTGATCCTCTCCTTGCAGACAGAAAACTTAAGTAGTGACAAATACTTCTCTAGCATTTTTGACAAGGATTAACCCTCTTCTATTAAAAACAATTATTGTGCCTCTCTAAGTCATAGTTTTATGAAGAGAGTATGTGGAAAAATTTAATTAAAATTAAAAAATTTTGTCATAACAAGTCTACATAGAAAAAAATAAAGCATGGTCAGAGATGGTAATGGAATATTGTTTCATTTATCTGGAGCAGAAATAAACCAAATTGCTTGATAAATATGGAATTTTTTTACTGCAGTTTTAAACTTTGCAATTAGCTGCAGGATGAAGGTGAGGCTGCTTAGTCAATAACTGGAATATGTTTTCCATCAGTTATCTCTGGTAATCTTTTGTTCCAAAACTAGGAATACAGGCTTCACTGTGAAACAGGACCCAGATGCAGAAATCATCACCTAGTAGTGACAGACTGCCCCACTGCACAAGCTGTAAAAGTGAAGAAGTCTTTCTTACTCAACTTCCATGTTTAATTTATTTCTAAATTTCAAAGAAGAAAATATTTCTAGTGATATTTGCAGTGGTATTGTAAAAATTAGATCTCTCTATAAAAGTACCTGGCAGTATTTTAATACAGGAAAATTTTACCATGATCCCAGATTTTGATGTTCATTCCAATGCTAAGACAAGCAGTTTATCCACAGAAATGTCAATAGAAACATCCCATTGCATCACTGAGCATCCACTTTAGGTGTGAAAATACACGCTATTAGAAATTACCTCAGCCTCAAAAAACTCACCAATAGGCTGATGACATCACATTCTTGCTCCTTTTCCACCCCTCACATCTTAAGAAGATGTCCGAAATTCCTGCTCGCCTTGCCTAAACAGGAGAGGCTCCTGGCAGAAGTTGAGTTTTTTATGGATTTGAAAATTTTCTGACTGGAAATACTTTAATCCCACACCTACACAACCCATCTCTTATATGAAGTTACAGATATACAGGCCAATTCAGTTGAAGCAAAATGGACCAATGAGAGGCTTATACAACAGGCAGCATTGATGTTTGTTTTCATTAAAACAGAGGCTAGTGTTTTCCAGCTGCAGGAGGAAAAGGGGAAAAAAAGAATGCCTTCAACTGTTTTAATACAATAGATATAGATGGGACCAGGTCCAAAACTAAGGCAGGCACCCCAGAGGTTCAGCATGCAAGTATATGAAAGTTTGGACTCAAAGCCTTGGGTTTGTTTCTCATCTTTCTAACGGGAAGGAGGGCCAGGAAGGGAAGAAAGATTAGACCATTCCAATTATTTTGTTAACTAAAATCCAACTCTGATGTTAAAGCCCATCTGTAGCTGAAATATTTTTAATATACTTATCTCGAGCAATGCACAATTAACAGCTTACTTGAAGAAGGCCTGGCTTTTAAAGGCACCTGATGAAGTTCCCCACGCAAGCTGGAGATGCCCATTACCTTATGAATATTTATATTTGAGACAGCCTAACTCTTCCTTGAGCACAACAGCATTTCAAACACTTGGATGTATAAAGGAGGGCATTACTTGGCCTCCAAGTTGGATTAGAGTGCACCACAACAGCTTATTTTGACAATGACTGCATGCAAGAATTGATTTATTGCTGGTAGTGCTTTGTTCTATTTTGCCTTTAACAAACATCAGAGAACTAGATGATTTCTTGGTAGATAGCTAGCTGTGGGGACTCATTCTGCCTTTTTTCTCGTCATGGGAGTTAACTCTTTACTGATATTGTTTTAAACAAAATGTTGGTATTGGTGCAATATGAAATATCAAGCATCTGATTTAAAAAAAAAATACAAAACAAAACCAGAATACCATGAGGGAAAAGAGGGCCTGACAGAGATAAATATGATTTAGTAACATAATAAAATAGGAGCGTAGTGAATCATGCAAAATAAGTGTCATTATTTGATTCACAAGGAGAAGACCAGAATATGAAGCATTCAGTGCTGACCTATCCATTTTATTCAACCTGGCCTAGTAGGAACAGGAAATTCTAACTAAATTCACAACATCCAGTTTTATAAAGGACTTTTTACTGGAGGGAAACCGTTTTCTCAGCATTACACAGAATCACAGAATCATCTAGGTTGGAAAATGAATGGGTGGCTCCAAGACTGATGTTACCATCAGGGCTTTGGATTCTTCAATCATGGGTTGGTATACAGGGCACCTGATCTTTTGACATTAGACGGAACACACCTGCCCCAGAAAGGGAAGGAGATTTGGGGGCTGGAATTAGCTGGACTCATTGAGAGAGCTTTAAACTAGATTTGAAGGGGGAAGGGGGCAAAACATCGGCCCATCTGAAGTGCATGTAAACCAATGCACACAGCATGGGTAACAAACAGGAGGAGCTTGCAGCCGTGATGAAACAGGAAAATTACGATGTTGTTGATAGTACAGAAACATGGTGGGATGTATCCCATGACTGGAGTGTGCCAATTGATGGGTACAAGCTCGTTAGGAGGGACAGACAAGGGAGGAGAGGCAGTGGGGTGGTGCTGTATGTTAGGGACTGTTATGATTGCTTCGAGCACAGGTGTAGTGAAGACAGGGTTGAGTGTCTTTGCATTAGAATCAGGGGGAAGGCCAACAGGGCAGATGTTGTAGTAGGAGTCTACTATGGCCACCCAACCTGGACAGAGAGATGGACGAGATATTTTATAGGCACTTAGGTGAAATCTCACGATCGCTTGCCCTTGTTCTTGTGGGAGACTTTAACTTCCCAGACATCTGCTGGAAATACAACACGGCAGAACGAGACCAGTCCCAGAGATTCCTAGAATGTGTGGGAGACAACTTCCTGACGCAGCTGGTGAGTAAACCGACCAGAGAAGGTGCCCTACTGGATCTCCTCTTTGTGAACAGAGAAGAGCTGGTGGACGATGTGGAGATTGGAGGCCGAGTAGGGCACAGTGATCATGAAATAATAAGAGTTCTCTATTCTTAGGGAGGCCAGGAGAGGGGGGAGCAGAGCTGCCATCCTGGACTTCCAAAGGGCTGATTTTGTCTTGCTTAGGCACCTGCCTGAAAGGATCCCCTGGGAGACTCTCCTAAAGGGTATAGAGGCCCAGAAAGGGCCTTTAAGAAGGAAGTGTTAATGGCTCAGGAGCAGGTGGTCCCCAGGTGCTCTAAGAGAAGCCAATGCCAGAGAAGACCACCCTGGCTGAACAGGGAGCTTTGGCTGCAACTCGGAGAAAAGGAGAGTTTACAGCCTTTGGAAGAAGGGGCTAGCCACACACAGTGATTACAGAGAGGCTGTGAGGCTATACAGAGTGGAAATCAGAAGGGCTAAAGCCCAATTGGAAATTAATTTGGCCTCTGCAATCAAGGATAACAAGAAAAGTTTCTATAAGTATGTCAGTAGCAAAAGAAAGTCCAGGGAGAGTCTCCATGCCCTGCTAGATGCAGGAGGAAATTTGGTAACAAGTGACGAGGAGAAGGCTGAGGTGCTTAATGCCTTCTTTGCCTCAGTCTTTAATAGCAAGGTTAGTTGTATTGATGAAACCCAGCCTCCACAGCCAGAATACAGGGACTGGGGAAACGACCCCCCTGCAATCCAGGAGACAGTCAGTGACCTGCTGCATCACACAGACATACACAAGTCTATGGGACTGGATGGGATACACCCGAGGGTGCTGAAGGAGCTGGCTGGGGTGCTCGCCAGGCCACTTTCTATCATTTACCAGCAGTCCTGGCTGACCAGGGAGGTCCCGACTGATTGAAAATTGGCCAATGTGACTCCCATCTATAAGAAGGGTCAGAAGGATGATTTGGGAAATTACAGGCCTGTCAGCTTGACTTCAGTGCCCAGGAAGCTGATGGAGCAGCTCATCCTAAACACCATCACGCAACACATGAGGGACAACCAGATGCTCAGGCCCAGTCAGCACGGGTTTATGAAAAGCAGGTCCTGCTTGACAAATCTGATCTCCTTCTGTGACAGAGTGACCTGCTTATTGGATGAAGGAAAGGCTGTGGATGTAGTTTACCTTGACTTTAGCAAGGCTTTTGACACCGTTTCCCACAGCATTCTCCTGGCAAAAATAGCTGCTCAAGGTTTGGACAATCGCACACTTCACTGGGTAAAAAACTGGCTGGACGTCCAGGCCTAGAGAGTTGTGGTAAATGGAGTTAAATCCAGCTGGCGGCCGGTCACTAGTGGTGTCCCCCAGGGCTTGGTTTTGGGGCCACTCCTGTTTAACATCTTTATTGATGATCTGGACAAGGGGATCAAGTGCACCTGCAGTAAGTTTGCAGATGACACCAAGTTGGGTGGGAGTGTTGATCTGCTCGAGGGTAGGGAGGCTCTGCAGAGAGATCTGAAGAGACTGGAGCCATGGGCTGAGGCCAACTGCATGAGCTTCAATAAGGCCAAATGCCAAGGGCTGCCCTTGGGCCACAACAACCCCCAGCAGCGATACAGGCTTGGGGAGGAGTGGCTGGAGAGCTGCCAGTCAGAGACGGACCTGGGGGTATTGATTGACAGCCAGCTGAACAGGAGCCAGCAGTGTGCCCAGGTGGCCAAGAAGGCCAATGGCATCCTGGCTTGTGTATCAGGGTGTGGCCAGCAGGGACAGGGAAGGGATCTTGCCCCTGTACTTGGCACTGGTGAGGCCGCACCTTGATTCCTGTGTTCAGTTTTGGGCCCCTCACTACAAAAAGGACATAGAGTTACTCAAACATGTCTAGAGAAGGGCTACAAAGCTGGTCAAGGGTCTGGAACACATGTCCTATGAGGAGCAGCTGAGGGAACTGGGATTGTTTAGTCTGGAGAAGAGGAAGCTGAGGGGAGACCTCATCACCCTCTACAACTACCTGAAAGGAAGCTGCAAAGAGCTGGGTTTGAGCCTCTTTAGCCTAGTAGAAAGTGACAGGACAAGAGGGAATGGCCTCAAGTTGTGCCAGGGAAAGTTCAGAATAGATATTAGGAAACATTTCTTTACAGAACGGGTTGTTAGGTGTTGGAATGGGCTGCCCAGGGAGGTGGTGGAGTCCCCATCCCTGGAGGTGTTCAAGAGTAGGGTCGA